AATTCAGGGGTCAGGGCAGAGGGATGGGGGGTGTGGAGGTTCAGGGATCAGGGCAGAGGGATGGGGGTGTGTGGGAGTACAGGGCAGAAAGCTGGGTGTGGGGGGAGTTCAGGGGTGTGGAGGTGCAGGGCAGAAGGCTGGGTGTGTGTGGTGGGGGGGTTCAGGGCAGAGGGCTGGGGTGCTCAGCTCGTGGGAGTGCTCCCAGCCTCCTGCCCTGAGCGGCTCATGGCAGGGGGCTGGAAGGGATATGCCCTGTTCCACCCCCTTCCCCAAGGCTCCGTCCCTACCTCTTTCTCTGCCTCCTCTAAAGAGCAGTGAGCAGGCTGCCACTTGTCCCCCTTCCCCTCGCAAAGGCCATCAGCTGATCGGCGCAGGGAAGGAGAGGAGGAAGGGCAGGAAAGCACCATGCTGGGGGAAGAAGCGGGGGGGGGGAAGCTTGGCTGCCGCAGGACCAAGCTTCTGCCTTCTGCTCCCCCAGGGGAGAGCGGTGGGTGGGGGGGGCTGAGTGGGGCTGGGGGCTGGGACCGTGGCAGGCAGCAGCGTGCCACTCAAAATCAGCTTGTGTGACGTGTTTGGCACACGTGCCGTAGGTTGCCGACCCCGGTATAGAGTTTGCAGTAATTAGGTGGAAAACTTAGGAAATTACTACACCTCTACCCCGATATAACATGACCCAATATAACATGAATTCGGATATAACGCGGTAAAAAAGCGCTCGGGGGGGGGCGGGGCTGTGCACTCCAGCGGATCAAAGCAAGTTCGATATAACGCGGTTTCACCTATAACGCAGTAAGATTTTTTGGCTCCCGAGGACAGCGTTATATCGGGGTAGAGGTGTACTTCTACTACTCCCTTTGTCAGGGAAAGGAAGGTGACTCAAGTTCATTTTTTCTATGAAGCTCAATAGATTTAAATAGATTCTCCTTTGGTTCCCCAAAAGTGGTGGACAAAATAGTTAAGTCTAACTGATTTTTTTGCTATACTTTGTAGCCACTTCTATGGAATATAAGGGTTAAAAAATTACGTTCAGAGGCTTCCTAACTACGCTTTTATTTACCGAGCTACAACACAAAGTTAAATGGTGGAACAGGAAAGAGTCAGATATGCAACAGAAGGAAAGAGGGAGAAATATTTTTTTAAAACCCCTGGCTTTTCCACTAGCTCTTCAAGTGATCTATCAGTGAGCTAACGGGGCATCTCGAATACCTGAAGAAGCTTTATTGTATTTATCACCCATCACTCTTTATATCTTCCCTCAAGCTCTGATATAAAATTTTAAGTAGAGATAAGCCAAACTATTGTCAAAAAAATGAGGTGCTCTTCAACACTGGAAAACCTCTGGAAACCTCTGGGTTGAATGAGTGTTTTGATTTTTGTGGCGGCCAACTAGTGGCCAAACATAAAGCACAGTCATTGGGCTGGATCCTTGCATTCCTTGCACACAAACACACACACTCTTTATGTAAGATGTGAGACTTTGCTAGATACAGTTAGGCTCCAGGGTCTTCGCTCAGGATTTTGGGGTGTACAAGAAATGGAGGATCTAGCCCTTAATTATCATCACCTCGCATCTGGTGACTGTACTCACTCTGTTTGCATTGTATACATGACCACAACTGTGATTCAAAGGGCTCTGGCAGTCCTTAGGCAGAAGCTCTAGCAGGGACTGTCCCTCTGGCCAAGCCATTAGGAGCTATGCTCAGCTCACCTTAGCTGGAAGCTACATTTGTTTGTGCATATCTTGTTCTACCCTCACTGATTTGTTTTTTTTTCTCTCTCTCTCAGGTGGATGAAATCAATGAAAGCATCATTCCAGGAATGGGGGGTGTAATGGTACTGGGAAGATGAATTGGCTGTGATGTCAGAATCCTCAAGTGCTCCAAAAATGGATCAGGTACTACACAACTTATCCAGAAAGACTGGCATAATGCTTCTAGAGATTATGCTTCCTGAAATGAAGTCATAGCATTGGACAACTCTAATTGTCAGGAAGAATGATATCTAGTCCCAGAAGTACCACTTCCTTTCATTCATAGTCCATAGGCAGAACAGCAAGTTGGAAGGCTGAAAAACCCAACCATATCTCATCTAAGGAACATACAGTTTACCATACCAGATTGGACCAATTATCCATCAAGACTGGCCTTGTGTCTCGCTAGTGGCCTATGTTTGATGCTCTGAAAAAAAACAGCTGGCGAATTATGCAGTGTTCAACATGGTGGAAAGGGTGGGAGGATTACTTCATATCTCTGTGGTAATCATCACCCTGAATTATGCAGTTTGATTGCCCCATTCTAGCAAGTAAAGCTACAAATGTTATTACTGGTCATAAAATTATGCAGCCCTTTAAAAATCCTGCTACGGTATTTAACTCTTTGACCTCCACAGTTTAACTGCTGTACAAAGTAGTATTTTAAGTTTATTTTTAAATAAAATGTAAGTGCCTGAAAACTTGGTAGGCCACCAGTGAAATTAAAGCAATACACTATACCATTAATTTTAATGACAGCTTAACAAATTTTCAGAAGTTTACTTTATTCAAAAATATTTAACAAACTACTAACTAAAGCTGAAATTAATTTGTCAATGGCAAGCGATACTTTTGGTTTTACTCAGATTTGCTTACCACTAAAGACTATTTGCTCCCAAAAAAGGCTGCATTTCTCTTTCTTGGATTTGCAAAAGTCTCTCACACACAAGACTGAGGCATCTGGCTAGGGCCAGAAAGAGCGTGCAGTACGCCATGCAGGCTCTCCAAACCACTCTGACTATGTACCTCCATGCTAACTTGCAGTACCTTTGATATGCTTGTTACTAAGCCTATCCAGTTCAAATAATAAGCATTGTGCAAATACCAGTGATAGTTTTGGGATACGAACAAGTGTCCACTGAATACAGCAATGAGGCAATCAAATTCACTTCATGTACATGACCACTGAACCCAGCACTCACTGTTAATGCTTTAATTTTCTCCCACAAAGCTTTTCTGAAAATTGTTTAAATAAGCTTCCTTTACAGAAAGAGAAAGCATGATGGGAGAAGGAATAACATCTTTAATTAGAAAAATTCAAATCAGCTCTTAATTTAATTCAGCATACCAGCAGCCATGATTAGATCTGCATCATGATATATCTCCAATACAATCAATTTTCATAAATGCAAACTTTCCTGAATATGGTTCTGATGTATCCTGACATTTTAAAATATGTCCTATTGTCCTTTTCTGTGCAGCAGACCAAGCACAGAGTGTTCAGTCCTATATCACTGTCACAGTGGTATTAGACCAGATGGCTGCTTCCTTGCAGAATCAAGAATTAGAGATAATTTATGCTGTTCACTGTTATTAAAATGTAGAAATATAAGGAGTCTGTAGCATCCATACATGAAAAGCAGCTCAGATCCATCAGCAATACACTGGTGAAAAGGCTCTTTATACTGCTACCACGCTCTTCAGAGTAAAGTTTCATTCCATGGAGCTGTGGGCATCTGTTAGGCCAGCTGACTGCTTCTTTTGCACACGACATGTTGGAGGGCTAAACTGATCTAAGGTACAGGGTTACTTTGTTGGGGAAACATATTCAATTATTCAGTGAAAAATCTGAGAGCCCCTTTGTTTTTTATTTTCTTGGAAAACAATTGTATGAACATTCCTATTAATATTTGTGGGGGATGGTTGTTTGTGTTCACGAAGAGTTAAAAATTGAAGTTCTATTTATCCACAGGCTTGCTAAACAGTCCTGAAGAAACTTCTCTATGATATGATATATCCAAAGACTTAGAAAATACTTCTTAGGTTGAGAGCTACAGAATTCACTCTATGGTTGAAATCCTGACCCCACTGAAGTCAGAGAGTTTTTTCCCATTGAATTCAATGGGAGGGGTGAGGTCAAGATTTCACTCTGAACTGATTCACTCTTCAGCATGGACTGTCATCTGCCTAAATAATGTCTGTGGTATTTTTGAAGATAAAGAGATCCATAGCAACTCAGCAGTATGCTGAGACCACAAAACTCATTTCAGTTAGGAATCTCAATGTCTGTATTCCAAAGTTTAAAAATCTTAATTGTTTTTATAATAAATATCATTAACAAGGTTGAGGGTTTGTTGTTGAAGGAAATACAACGTATTCAAGAATAAAAATAAACCATCAATAATTCTTCGATGTCATAGGATCATAGAAATTAGAGACACAAAAGACCTTTTAGGTGAACTTGTCCATCCTGCTACCAGTAAAACATTATTCACTGCCGTATATTTCCTAGTACTTTGTACAATCTAGTTTCAAAGTGTTCTAAGCTCTGGAGGGAGAAAATCTTAGTAACATTATCTCACCCCATTATTCTTAACTGGCTAGCAGATTATTTGCAAATATGGAGAAAATACAGTGGCAGAAATGGGGTAACTACAATTACACATACAAAAAGTAAAAGAATATCAGTATACAATTTACCCAGTGGGAAAGGACAAGAAAATGGTAAAGATAGTGTACAGCTAGTATAGTTAATCAGTTTATTTTTCCAATGCTGGAAGTTTATCAGAGCACTCTCCCTACATGATTTCAGGTTTATACTCAGATGAATGACAATAACTCTCCCATCAATATCTTGGAATATTACAAGTCAATGGGGAAAATTTTATCGGCTGCTGCAGTTCATTGAGATTTAATTGATACGACATAGTTACTCCACATGAACCTAGGAAAGTATATCATTGAGTAAAATGATTTAATTCACTTTAAGCTCATTTTAAATTACGCCAGGAAACATTAAGGGCAGATTTGTTTCCAATTCTTCCTGAGCATAATTTGTACTTATGGCACACAATGTAGGTACTCTGACATTGAATGACTGACTAGCACCTTATGAAAGTCATTACTTATGTATCAAGACCAATATTTGTAACATAATGTGTTCTTAAACTGATCAGGACAGCAGGAGGCAGGTAAGTGGATCACTTATCTTTATTTTGTAATTTAACCTATGCTGTGACAAGGCACCAAAAATTAGATAATTTATCATTTCCACTCAGCCCTGCATACTTTGAAGTAATCTTATAAGTGTTTAGTAATATTATAAAGTAAAGGGATTTTTGCTGCCAAATAAAATGGAAAATGAAAGGTTGTTTTAGAAGCAGAGCATAATGAATTCCTGGCTGGATGTTGAGACCACATCATGAAAGACCTCTTTCATTTTAGATTCCTGTCCAGTATTGTTGATGCCTGGATTTCTCCTGATTCCCTCTCTGTGCCTACTAGTAATTTTATTAAAAAGTCCATCAGCATGGAAGATAGTTGTTATGCAGGAGCAGTAACTCTCATAATGTGAGATGGCATTTCTTTCCAGCTCTTGCTGCTCCGCTGGGTCTAATAGCAACCTGGAGCTCAATTTCCTCCTCAAGAACATTGCATTTCATGTGGAATGTCAATTATTAAAATGCAGTGTCCCGTGTCTTACTTTTCACTAAATGAATTCATTTGCAAAACTTGCTAATTTATGCAAATGATCCTTAACCTCTAACTGCCTGGTATGTATTTCTCAGTACCTCTTTGCAGCTCAAAAGTATATGAGGGAAATAAGTGCATAAATGCTCTAACAACCAAGCAGTGATGAAATCAGTCTTATCTTGCCACTACTACAAAAATAGAGATTTAATTAAAAGAGAATCAAGGAGGAACTATCTGATACCTATACCTACTGTCATGTCTCAGTACAGTTAGGCCACACTGCCTGTATCCTGATACATAATCTGCAGAGTCATCCAAACCCTGGTGAAAAATTATTTTGATTCAGTTGATCTTTAAAATATTTAACAGGATGCTTTGTATAAATAAAGATGAACTGAAACTTCAGTTCTGAGAGAAGTTGGGGGGGGAGGGGAAAGATCCAATTTTGTAAAAATGATTGCTGTGTATATAACAGGCCAGCCAAAACCCTGCCTCTGAACCAGCACAAACTCTGGGGTATTTGAAATTTGATTTCGGATCTAGAGCCAGGTCCAAGTTTTGGAGCATAGGCCCAACTCTGCTCATCAGTAATGATAATGAAATAGGTAACAGTGCCTTCACATAACACATATAACTTCAAGGGAAATTTTTCCATTTGGATTTTAGAAGGCACAGCCACAATTGTTTTAGTGTGATTACATCTCACAAGTGAAAACTGAAAATGGCTCCCAGGTTCTGGCTGCATCAGCTACATCCCCACCAGAGGTGGCATAAAACAGTTATTGATCTACTGATGGTGCAGTTGGAGCACTGCAAGATTCTGCTGCTTCACTTCCCAGGAAGTTCAAATATTTTCCTTTTTCAGTTCATGCAGGTTTGCATGCCTGAGTATTTTGCTTGGAGTTGTAGTGAAACCACAAATAGCAAAACTTCTGACTTTTGCCTGGTTTCAAGGCCATCACTTTTTGCTTGCTTTCCACACAAAAACCTAAACATGCTCAAGCATGACTAGAGTCTTGAATCTTGTGGTGAATCTACCCCAAGTTTTGGGTTCTAACAAAACCTGACACTAGCAAGTTTCCTCTGAGTTGCTTTTGTTACTGTTCAGTAGTTTCATACAGTCCAAGTACAATAAGCCAAGTTTCCTATGTCTGTCATTATGCCACAACCCCAGTGTCATTCACTGAAATCAGTAAAGAGTCTTTCACTGGTTTGTCAAGAGACCTTGGGCCAGATTATGGCCTCTTGTGACTTGCCTTTTTGGATGGAGAAGACAGGTCCTTCTGATTTATTTTTAGACTCCTCCCACAAGGAAATCTTCCTTTCTTAGGAATCAGATGAACAGGACTCCTTTGGTTCTAGCATTGCCATTCTTCAGCTAGCTAGAGGGGTCACTGCAGTGCTCCTCAAGTTCCTGCTAGCCTGGGAATCTCATGACCAGTCTGGGATCCATGATTTTGTAATTAACAGTCTCCCCCGCCACACACACACACACACACACACACACACGATTTATTTCAGATGATCATTTGAAATTCAAGTAAGTGAGAGTCAAAAATACAGTCTTTCAACCTACTGCTCAATCTCTTTCACAGAGGACATAGCTTACAGAACAATGTCGCTTTAAATCTACCTCAGAAGATGGTCCTTCTGGCCCACAGTATGCCAAAATGACTTGATGATTTATTTCTGTGGAGCTTGGCAGGCCGTAGTCCAGATTGTGGCTGAAGCTGAATTTTATGAGCATTTCCCCTTGTGAGTAGATTTAAAAATATTTAAGAAAAATAAGGTCTTTCGAGAGTTTGGCACAAATTTCAAGCAAATATCAGGAAGAAGAATGACTGGGAGAAAAGTTTTAAGGCAGTACGTAAATATTAACCTATTGGTATTATTGTGTTCAGAAGCTTGAGGTTTTTTCCATGTGATCTTTAAAAAGTGGAAGTTTTCATTTTAGCAAAGAATAACATTTTGAATGGAATGTTTTAGCCATATATAACTTAGCAATTCATACAGTGAACTGGTATTTTTTGCACAAAGATAAATGTCTCATTGTCATTCCAGAGGATATAAGCAGCAGCATGTTGTTGCAGTCATGTAAGAAAGCAATTTTCTGTCCTGTTCTATTGATTTATAGTATTTTAGTAATCCTGTGACTGATAAAACGTCGATGCTACGGAAAAGAGACCCATGTGATCTAGTGGCAGCAGAAAAGAGCTGGGCATTAGGCTGATCAAGGGTGAACCTGTGCTACTAATTTAACCTTGTTTCTCAGGCCCCATCCACACTAGACCAATAACTGAATTTAAATATGTTTTCTCAGTTTGATTAAACACTTTTCCAGTTAAAACATTTTCTAACATGATTCATCTGCTCAATATGGACAGAGTAAAACTGTTCTAATCCAAACGCTGGAATGTGGCTGGTAAAGAACAGCTATGCCAAGGAGTAAGGAAATGTGCTGAGGTGCACAGCACCAGTGACAAATGCCAAAGGTATGATTCCTACTAAGGACAAAGGCAAGCAGAATGCTTTCAGAGTGCTGGGAGTGACAGACTGAGG